CTTTTAATTTCTCATCAATTGTTTTTAGTTTTAATAATGAGATAATATTTGTTTCATTTAAAAGATAAGAATGGTTTATATTTTTTAATATCAAATCAAGTCTTTTAAACCATTTACTTTTAATAATTTTAATTAATAATGTCAGCATGGACCAGGTCTGGCTAAACACACACACCTACCGATACTTCTTGGCCAGTGGATGTTAAATTCTGCATCAAATTTTTTTTCTCTGTCTCTCCTTGGGTATGTTTTGATGACGTACCTTTCTTGCGCTGTGCACTTATATATCATCCATATGTTATGATTCTTTAACTTTTCACACAACTCTCGTGAGAAGGCTCGTAATGCTAAACTAATTATTGGTATGAATGGTTCAACAACGACCATAAAAGACCCAAGTGCACCCAATGAAGAACCAAAGAAATTCTCATTTGACTTCAGTTATTGGTCACATGATAATTACAAAGAAAAACCAGATGGCTATTTAGAACCTACCAATAAAAAATATGCTGACCAGGTAAGTTAAGAATTCATGATATTGTTACAGCATGATTCCTTTTTTACTGGGTTTGCTCTCATAACTACCGGTACCTAATATTCACTGACAAGTTTTGAGTTACTCAGCATGATCACAACTGAAAAGAGAGTCGATTGTAATATGTATATGCTTGTATCTTGTATTATTATACATCTGTCATTGTTACGCCGTTAGTTACAGCGTGGCGTAATTTTTACGGGGTATTTTCATCCTACCATATTAGAAAATGCAAATTCCAAATATGGAATGATTACGTGCATAAGCGTCCTATAATAATAAAAACAAACATGACTGCCACTAGGGTTTGACCGGACTTCACACAAAGAAGCTCGCTAAGATGTATCCTTAGAAGGAAAAGATGTATAATAATAAGGTTATTGCGAGGATACTTCAAAGTATGCACTCAGACAGTACGTCACTCATCGACCCCCGCTGCGTGTCGGTCGATACTCCAGCTGTACTGTCTTTGTACATACTTTGAGGCATCCCCGTAATAACCTTATATTATCAGAAATATCACATACAGATACCCAAATGTTATTAATTAATTCCATCTTCATTGTGTGTGTATTTGAATTAAAATTTCTGTAACGTGGATACCTACAATGCAGAATTAACATATTCCAAACAAAACTGAAGCTGGAATAGTAAATCTGCCTAAAACTGCATCTTTTTACTGACCAAAAGCATCTCAACATTGATCGCCCTCCTCTCCTTTGCATGAAACAGTAACTATAATAACTATAAAAACTGAATTTTCTACATATCATAATTGTGTGGATTATGGTATAAAAACCATTACCAACAAAATATGATGTCTACAGCAGGCATTTCCTATAAAGACGGTTATGTTATCTTTTCTGAGGCTAGCCCAAGTGTAGTGTTGCAGTTGAATTATTAGTACTAAATAATAATAGAACCCACTGTATGAATATGCAAACAGTGCTCACATGAAATGCATATACTGTCCATTATGACTTTTACTCTGCACTTAGGTCAAAATATTAACGCAACGAAGCATGATATTTAAATAAAGCAACATTTATTAGTGAGCTTTGAGCCATTAATTTAGTAAACATACATAATAAGTTGTCAACAAATTCATGCAGTAAACAAATGTAACAAATTATCCTTATAAGGCATTTGTCCCTCCTAGTAAGGTAATGTGCAAACTGAGTGCCCTAACATAAATCAAAGCATTTCATAATTTGTATTATAATTATTGGTAATAATATATCATTATCTTTTTTGATTATTACAGAAAACTGTTTTTAACGATCTTGGTCGTGGCATCCTTGACAATGCATGGGGTGGATATAACTGTTCGTTATTTGCATATGGACAAACTGGCTCTGGGAAATCCTATTCTATTGTTGGATATGGACCAAATAAAGGTATCTATAGTTCTCTATTATCATTGTGTATGTTCTAGAATTATTATTTTATGTCATTAGGTACTTGTTTTTCATCATTATTATGGATTATGTATTGTTTCATTTATTAAAATTGTATTGTTGGTGAAACTCAAAGCTATTTCAAGTTTGTGTTCTGTGGCAAAATTAGAGTCTGAACGTTACTGCATTTGACTGGCATACTGAACGAATGCTAGTGTATTGCGCCATTTATCGTTAAGTTATTTAATGTCTGTGCTACAATAAATCGCATCACGCATTGATGTTTGAATTCTGCTTTGGGTGTGTGCAATATACAACTATAACACTGAAAGGATGTGATGTTTGATGTTTGCTAGGTTGCAGTGGTAACTTGAGTAAAATAGTCCTATCAACTCAAAAAGAAGAAGGGGGTAATGGCTATACAGGGACCAAATCAAGAGTCCCGTTTTTATGTGAATCTTAATGAGATTAGTAATACCCCCTTTGACATTGTAACAGAAAACCCTGTGTGCGTTGCAGTGACCTAGTGACACCTGTAGATGCTGAAACCTCATGTTGAAATCCACAGAACTGCTTAGGGATGTTCACTTAAGAAAATTTCTGATATGGATATTGCGTGAATAATATACATGCTGTCTTTATTACAGTATAGTACATTATATTACTTGACATGACAACAATACAACTTTAAAGGGTGATACTCAGAATATAGCACCTGTTCAGGTTTTGTGTGTAAACAATGTACTGTAAAACCATTTATTTCCACTGACATTTAATTTCACTATTTTTATGAAAATAGCATAATTAGAACCCAGTGATTAATTAATGCATTTACAGTATTTTACAGAGGTTATGTATGTTGCTAGGGACTCATATTGAACATGATTTGTCATGACAACCACCATGATTTAAATTCTTAAATGTGATTAGAAGAAAATTATAAGAAGATAAAAATAAATGGCACTTGTTTGTATGGGTGAGAAAACGAGCTACATTTGTAATTGCTCAAACTCAAGTGGTGTTGTTTACTTAATATACACATGCTCTGGTTGATAAAAAGTTTATGAACAGTAGATTTGATCTGTAGTACTAGGGCTAATCTTTACATGTTATAGTTTGGACATGTGCGCAGTGGTCAACAAAAATGTTAACAGTAGATACATCATTTTGTTGTCGTATTTATTATTCTCATTGGTTCATTCTGTTATTTTTTCTGGCAGGAATTGTACCAATGTTTTGTGAAGAGATGTTTGTTGGTATTGAGAAGAAACAAAGTGAAGGAACCAAGACAGAATTTGAAGTGACGTTTAGTATGTTAGAGATCTATAATGAACAAGTACGTGATTTGCTGAACCCATCGTCCAATAAGAAAGGAGGCTTAAAAGTACGTCAACATCCCAAGAAGGGTTTTTATGGTAAGTGTACTAAAACTACTAGTTTTTTTAATTATTGGAATTCCCATAAATATTGTTTAAAATTCTTGTTGTGCGTAACCAGATGATTTGATGTTTTTAAACCAATTGGTAACTTGAGAACATTGAAAAATGAATGATATAGCAATGCTTTGTGTGTGTAGCAAACACCTGTATATAATGTATATTCGGATTAGCCTGTCAGCAATGAATTCTAATGTGGGTATAAATCAAGTGTTAATAATTCCTAATCATCATTTTCTATATATGAATATTTCATATTGAAGCAAGAATTGCTTGTCTACGAAAGATGGTTTCATTGTTAGTAAGCTAGGCTTACGTAAGTTTGTTTATGATATTTTTTTTTTTTTTTTACTGTATCCTTTTGTGTCAAATATTCTACACTGTGACACTTTATCTATTTCTTTAGTTGAGAGTTTGCAGACAGTACCTGTGAACAGTTATAAAGATATTGAAAACAGAATGGATGAAGGAACAAGAAACAGAACTGTAGCAGCTACACAGATGAATGCAACTAGCAGGTAAAAAGAGTATTGTATACACATATTCACAGAATGGTTTAAATCCCAGGATCTATTATTCCGGGGTTTCCTACATATTCTTAGCAGTGTGATGAAATAATTTTTTTTCCTTTCCAGCCGTGCTCATACAATTGTAGGAATCGTATTCACACAAAAGTTTAAAAATGATGCTGGAGCTGAGACCGCTAAAAGTGCTGTGGTAAATCTCGTCGATTTAGCCGGTAGTGAGAGAGCCGAGTCTACGGGCGCCACCGGGGATAGATTGAAAGAAGGTGCCGCTATCAATCAGTCTCTCTCTACTCTTGGTAACTGCATAGCAGCTCTTGCTGATAAATCACAGGGTAAAAATGTACGAGGTATGTAAGAGATTTATTACATGTACATGGCAGTGGTCATCGCGGCCATGTGCATTTACGTTCTGTGTAATAAACAGCAGGTATTATGGTTTTAACAGTCAAGAAACGAGAATGACAATAAGTTCCAAAATAATGTACTTTATATTATATAAATATGGTTTATATTGTTATGCAAATGAACTACCACCCTATAAATTTATTTGTACATGTATACCAATTATTACAATAGACTTCACTGGTCACACATCCTGGCACTATCAGGGGCTATTGTGCCCTATGTCAGTTCAAAATTATACCTCACTTTCTGCCATTTTAATAATGTAACTGTTTTTTTAGAGAACTACTTGCATTTTTGTCCGAAAAATTCTCATTGACAATAAATTTGTCCTGCCAGAAAATACCAGGATGTGTAACCTTTTGGAGGTCATGCATATAAATTATTACCAAATATTTCATATCTTTCATGAAAAATCAAAGATTTCTTTACTGACATAAGAAGTGATAACATTTTTTTTATTATGCTGTATGAACCATGTCAGGTATATTGAAACAGTGTTCAAATGTAATATATGGTTCACCTGTGAGTGTATATCATCAATTTATTCTATATTCTCTTCTAGTTCCATTTCGTGATTCTGTGTTGACCAAGCTGTTGAAAAATGCTCTTGGTGGCAATAGTAAAACTATCATGATAGCTGCCTTAAGTCCTGCTGATATCAACTATGAGGAAACACTTTCTACTCTCAGATATGGTAAGCACCTCTGACTAGTTGGTGATATTCTTTATTCGTACATGTAGCTTGGCCATCAGTTATCAATCATGTTAACTTTCTTGTTCTTTTATCCAAGTTGTTTGGAGTGAGTACTGTAAAACATGTTGATAAAGCAACATGCAATTTTAGCAAATTGTTGTAAAATGACGTAATAGCGAAATGTTGATTTAGCGAATCTCTCTTGTCATTGTTGATTTCCTGTTTTCACAATACTTGTCTGTACCATGCCCAAACAAATGTGCGATTGTCACCCCCATACAAAAACAGAAAAAAACTGTGTAAAAAAAGCGTAATTAGGAAGATTACTGTATACAAATCCCCAAGCCTTGGCCATTTTGAATTTATAATAAAGTCATTAGCGACATCTTGAATTAGTGAATCAGTTCTCTCGCTAAATTAATACTAAAAAGACATGCTCGCAAAAAAAAAACATGTTTTACAGTATATTTAAAAAACTTTAAACCCACATCTGTTAGAAGTACATCTGCAATAGAAGTGGACATAAACCAAGATTTTGTATACCTAGGTGACTTATTATTTTTGCATATCTCTATCTACCTTATGTAGCACATGCATTACGAGTAGAACAAATTTGGTATGGTATTTTTGTGTACTTGATTTGTCAAATTTAACAATGCTTTTGTGATGCTTCCCACAATGCAATTTGGTTCTGAACACATTGTGATACATGGGAGAGGACGTCATTGCTAGGTTTACATGGCAGCATGTTATCATAGCGGAACTACCGGTATTGCTCCTCCAACCAATTAACAGGAGATTATCTCTTTACATGATTGTGACTGAACGTGATCTGAAGTTTGGCCTGGTTTGTTTCACTAGGGCTCAGTCCTATCAGAGTTCAACCCTGAAGGATTATTGCAGCTAAATGTGTTCACAGCTATTTTTGCTAGCTCAAGCTGACTGGAGCTATTGGGCTCTGATAAAATGCTGTTGCATGAACAAGGTAATTGTCAAGATGAAATGAATCCTTGAAAACAACCTGTTATCCCGTTTTGACTTTAATGGGGTGTATCTTCTTTGTAATTATCAGCTGACCGAGCAAAACAAATCAAAACAGCTGCTGTTGTTAATGAGGACCCAACAGAGAAATTGATTCGAGAACTTCAGGAAGAAAATGAAAAGTTGAAAAAACTAATGTCAGGTGGTGGAAAGATCTCAATGAGTGACTTAGGTGGTGATGACGAGGACCAGAAAAATATGTCAGCAGCAGGTAAGAAGTCATTGATTGCCACATCCCTTTTTCTTTCTTTAAATATTTTTTTTTTAGTTTTGGATATTGAATGACACTGTTGTCTTTCCTGTTTTTTTTTATGCAAACTACAAGTGCAAGTAAAAAATAGTTTTCGATATTATTGTAAAGACATTATTAATGTAATATATAGTAAATAATTACTGTAAAGCATTTATTTTCACTGGAATTTAATTTCAATACTTTGATGTTTTGAGCAATTTCACTGGGTTTTAGTTTCACAAATTTGGCAGGAAAACAATGAGTTCTATTGTTATTTTTCATGTTCATGTAGATTTAATTTAGAGGATTTTACTTATGAGCAAAAATAGCAAAATTAAAAACCAGAAAATAATTAATACATTTACAGTATATTGTTTATTAGTTCCCGTTCGGACGAAGTTCGAAAACGGGGACTTATAATTCAGTCTTCGTGCATCCGTGCGTCTGTGCGTCTGTGCGTCCGTCTGGAGTCATATCTCAGAACCCCTTGGACTGATTCCGTTCATTCTTTGCATGTGCCTAGTACCTTATGTGGGACATATGCACCTGCAG